ACCGATTCAAAGTCTGTGTTATATATATATGTATATACCATACGAAAAAAGCGGGCACTACCACGCGTTTATTTTCGCAAAATTTACAAGGGAGGGCGAATTAACTCTCGACCGGCTTAGGCTGTTTTTTCGACTTGTTAGCCCAGAGGGATAGAGAGAGGCCGTACAACATACCCCTCCCGAAGCTCCCAGTTGTTTTACGAGCTTATTTTTTTTTACCCGCCCGTGCACTGTTTCTGTTTGCTTTCGCCTGAGCTCTCTATATGCAGCCTATATATTACATACACAGAACAGTGGCAGCAGCAGGACCTGTATACGTACATACACGTATACATATATATACACACATCACCGCTTTGTTCCGAGCTTTATCTTTGGGCTTGTTTTTGAAATTAGCGGAAATTGAAGGCACCCCTCCTCTTGATGCTCCCCTTTTCTCTCTCTCAAAGTGTAGTTTGAATTATTGTTTCCCATTGGAGAATTTTTAATTTTCGCGAAAAGATCTTTGATCCATTCAATAACGAGTAAACGAAGGAACGGAGTACACGTATACNGATCCGGATTACAAAGAATCGTTTGATATGACCCTGTTACTTATTTCTCTTAATCATTAAAGTTATAGCAATACTTGGTATTGAATACTAATATTTCCAAATGTTTTAAAGGAATTTCTTTTTTGTATATATTTATGTATGATTATAATTAATACTAATAGAATCGTATAATTTAATGAACTATAAATTTATTGTTAATAAAACTTATTTCCAACGTAATAAAAATCAAATTTTGTTACAGATTTTGTTCAAAGTGTGGTCTCGCTGTCGAACAAAAAAATGTTTTGTTCAAGCATCAGAACAAACTGATGAACCATTGTTTCATGTAATTGCTGAAGCTAGTCGTAAGTTACAAATAATCGGAAAAAAACTCGTTCTCGACAGCGACGGTACACCAATTGAAGAAACAGAAGTCTTATTCAAATTGAAGAATAAAGAATTATTATTATTATTATGCGATGACGAGGAGTGGGGTCCACACTTACATGAACCGAAAGCTGTCAGTACGTCACGAATATCCGCATCGCAAGATAATGATAATTTTACACAAGAACAACAAATTCGTACATTAGATACGACAGAATCATCATGAAACAATGGCTCACAAAATCAAACAACTCCACAAGCTGTTAGACCTCCAAACCAGTCGCATTTATCAGCTTTTGATCGATTCCAGATTCCATGGGATTCTCTTGATACAGCGACTTTAAATATTTTAAACAAACACGAAAAAATTAATAATAATATACATAAAGGAATAATTAAACAGAATGGACAAATATCAAAATCTATACTCCTATACGTACAAAAATTGCTCTTCACTCTAAATAACTACAATGTAATCTTGAGAACGAGGCGAATGAAATATAATTGAAGATTAAACTAACTTACCTGTAAGTAAAGTTCAATCGAAATTATATGAAGAGCCTCGTTCGAAGAGATCACAGTCCCTCCCAGATAAACTCAGTATTTCGTTATTTCAACCGTGAGTATACGTCTAGTTTACCTTCCCTTGTATTCGCAATTTTAACATATAAATATGAGAGGGATGCGCAGTGGTATGATGCAGGAGTGCAAGATGCCAGGCCTCCCACTCCATCATTTTTTTTTTTTAACTCTAAACGTTGTGACCTCTGACGGATGAAAGAAGTACCACAATGTAATCTCTTCGAACGAGGCTCTTCATATAATTTCGATTGAACTTCACTTACAGATAAGTTCGTTTAATCTTCAAATATATGTCCAATGAAGAATCACTTTTGTGTATGTTAGCTATGAGGTTTGGGGGAGAGAAGGACGTATAGAAGAAAGGAAAGGCATATAACGTGACACAATTAGGTCGAGGTGGAGCCCATATATTTCGATTGTTCTCCATGGAGAGAGAGAGAGAGAGAGAGAGAGAGAGAGCCCTGCAGTGCTGCAACAGCCGAAATATGGGGATAAAGAGAGAGAGAGAAGGGAGGGAAACGGGGGGTGGGAGAGAATATATCCCGAAGGGTAGACCTTGAAGGCTACAAAAAACACGTCCCGTCCCATTCCATCCCTCGGCAGCTCTTCTGTTGCCTTTGCCGTATACAACACGAGAGCACAACAAGCAAAGAGCACACGGAACACACTTGGCTCAGGGTTGCCAGATCCCCTCACTCTGAAGTGCACGCGGAGAGTTGGCAGCGTCGCCGCACCCGGCAAAACGATTCACTTTATAAGCTCGGCTCTCGCGCGTGTGCCTCTTCCTTCCAGCTCTCTCGCTGCATCATCTCTACTTTCTCATCTCGTGTATTGGTAATACACTACTGGCTCCTGTTGCTACAGCTACTCACTAAGTACGACTTTTCTTTCCCAGTATCTCTGTCTTTCTGTTTTTTTTTTCCCCAAGTTCTGTTTCTTGGCATTTTCGTGCATACGTATTTGTTTTTTTTTTTTTTTTTTGTTATTCTTTTATTTATTAATATTATATAACAATTATTTATTAATGGTTAATTCAGATATGGACCATTAATTGGGGTAAGGGGACCACAATTGGGTACTTCACCTTATCGTTTTTCAATTTTTGAGTGTAATTGCAACTTGTGATTCGGATCACAGAGAATCGTTTGATATTACCCTGTTATTTATTTCTCTCAATCATTAAAGTTAGAGCAATACTTGGTATTGAATACTAATATTTCCAAATGTTTTAAAGGAATTTCTTTTTTGTATATATTTATGTATGATTATAATTAATACTAATAGAATCGTAAAATGGGCATGCTCCGCTCGGGTGCTTACGGAGCAGTAGCCAGACTAACTTTACAAGAAAAACGAGAAAAATAAAATTGATTTTTGTTATTTTATAACAAACAATACAACTGACAAACGATCGAATAAAAACTATTGAAAACATAAGTAAAAGACTACTTTTGATGTGAAGTTTTTGAATGATTGCTGTAAAGAGAGGTAAAAAATACAATTCGTCTTTCTGAGTTGAAAAATGTTGATAAACCTTTTCTCCTATCAATAAACAATAATATCTAGGAAGAAAAAAAAATTGGTTTTCCAAAAACAAAAATTGAAACGGACAGTGAATTGACTATTACAAGTTTAATAATTATTTTTTGCCCCCTTAAAGCTTATCGAAAGACTGAATTTCCGTATACTGCACCTCAGCATGGCCGTTATAATGACTGTAAAAAAAAACATAAGTAAAATAATGAGTTCTATATGCAAATAATATTAGGCTTTTGATTTTATATGTGCTGACGCAGTACAAATACAGAAATTTGTGATTCTTTACTTCTGTAAGGTTTATACTATTCACAATAATAGTTATCATTGCAGAAGAAAAACAAATTCCAAAATAATGAAAAATATATATGTCATTTACAACCAGTCAAAACAAAGATTTCACTCGGATCTTTAAAAAATTGTATAGATAATGCGTTCGTAGATATAATTAATGAGAATTTCAATCCTGAGCAATAAATGACTTTTAAATTAAAAAGATTAGATAACTTTGTAAAACTATTACAAACGTGTAAGTTGTATTGATTATAAGTGGCGGTAACATTGTATCAATGAGAACATGATTCGAGCAAATGAAAACTTGTAAGTGAATGGGCTTTCTCCGAGCCGAAGAAAAAAGAAGCACCAGAGTCAAGGCTAACGCGGAAAGAGCAATCAAAAAGATATTAATGCAGAGCCCAGGTCAAAATTTAAATTAGTGAGGCATATAAATTTGTACACGCGGCATCGTAATTTAAATCGGTCGTGTCGACAAGTTCACTCAAGAAATGCGATACACTAATAATAGCAGCAACGCACCGTCGAGGCACATATATGTATCTTAAAGCATCGTGCGTGGGTGCACTCTGCAACCCGCCACTGCTCTTACACGAACTGCGAACATTTTTCTCTTCTATTTTGTTTTGTACACATTTCGGATGTATCATTCGTTACACCCCATAAAGAGACGATCCAAAAACACGTGATTTTGTGTATATTTTTATTTTCTTTTTTACTGCTGAAAAAAAGCGTCCCGTCGACTGTTGACGGTAAATCAAATCAACTTTTTTGGTTTTCAGTAGAATAAAGATTTTATTTTTAAACAAATCTCAAAACAGACCCTAAAATTTCGACTTTTTCAGACAAAATTCAGACGGTAAATTTTCTTACATCGATTGTAGTACGTTACACATAAAACGAATTAGAAAATTCAAAAACAATTCGTTATACAGAGACTGACAAACCTACAATTATTTTGATTATACCATTTTTTAAAAAATATACTGGTAAGTTACCAAGCAGTTATTTTGTTTGAAAAAAAGTAGCCCGACCGTATTAACAGGAGCAAGGCATACATCAGCCACGGGCTGGTTTGTAGATTACAAGCAAAAGTCAAGCGAGTATAAGTAAGTATATGATCGTGGTGCAAGAATAAACCGAGAAAGAGAGAGACAGAGGGTTCCTTCTTTGGTACATCTACACGTATACCTGTAAACACGTACAAGTACCTCTATATACACGCCACTATTCGGCTCGTCAATTCGACCCAGCATTCAAGCATCGGACGAGCAATGCATGCACGCATGCAGCCAAGCACAGCTCTCGTGTCGATGGGCATGCTCCGCTCGGGTGCTTACGGAGCAGTAGCCAGACTATAGCAGCCCCCCCCCCCACTGCATGGCACTGCCGGCTGTTACATAATAACCAAGCGGCGTCGCCAGCTCGCAGCCGAGCGACGTTGCCGGCTCTTCCTTGTACAACAGCACGTTTAATGTTGGCTGGCTCGTCGTCGTCGACAGTATATGCTTATTCTTCTCTATATCCTACACCGTATAACATGACACACAATATACTCGAAAGACTCGAGTTCACCTGCCCCGGTGGATTTGGCTTGATAATATTTACACCATTCACTTGGCTGCTCGTGCGATACCAGATAGGCTGATTTGAGATCTAAATGCAGTTTTAGATGTGNCGGCGCTCGGTGACTGGCACGTGGGAGGTCTTGGACTCCTCGACGCAGCGGACACACTTCTCTTGGACGGGCACGTGGACGGTGTAGGGCTCGATGTAGGTGCGGCAGCGGTGCTTGCAGACTGGGACGTGGCGGGTCCTGACCTCAACGACGGGGCGGCAGAACTTCTGCACGACGGGGACGTGTCTGGTGACGCATTCCTCCTGGGTGCTGACGTGGTTCTGGACGACGGGGACTTGCCTTGTGATGCACTCTTCCTGGCAGCGGACCTTCTGGTTGACCACGGGCTGGCAGCTGATCCTCTCTCTGCAGACGGGGCGGGAGACTGACTCAACTTGGTAGCTTTGCTGGCAACAGAGAGCGGGCTGGCAACAGGGGGCGGGCTGGCAACAAGGGGCGGGTTCGCAGCTCGAGAGTTGGATACCACAATCACAAGGAGAACAAAGACCGGCCTGGAAGGCTGCGACCACAAAGACGACGAGGGTGAGCATGTTGCTTGCTGCTGCTTGTTCTTTATTTCAGATCGGTATCACTGGGAATAAAAATAAATCATTTGGAAGCGCGTATAATGGGGCGGCACGACACTATCAGATCATAACAGACACGTTTTAACGAAACAATCTTTCTCTGCGATCAAGAACTTTCAGAATAACTCACTTGCTGATGCAGTGGTACGAATAGATTTGCATCATAATGTGACTTGATGAAAAACAGGTGTACAAATAATATGGAAGTTCACTTGGAAAGCGCATAAGTAATAAGCTAACTATTGTTTATTACAATCATTAAAGCGCATTTTTAATAAAAAAAAAAAAAAATTTATATCTACTTGGATGTTTGTTTCAATTAATCATACAATGCCTGAAAACTTTCTTGTACAATTGTTTTCATATCAATATTATTTGGATTTTATGCAAGCCACAAGCTTTTATTTTATTGAAATATAGCCATTTTCAATATTTGATACGTATATATTGTACTTACAATGTGATTTATGTTTTTAAATCAACACATTATTTTTATTATTAATTTTTCAAAGTATTAATCATCAATTTTATTTTAATTTGATTATATCTAAATCACTACGATTTTACGATTACTGGTTTGAAAATTTTTTACTGCAAATAATTTTATTAAATTTTTTGGATGAAAAAAAAATTTTGTTGATTCAAGTAGATTGATTTTTTATTGAATGAGACTGAAAACAACCCATTATATAGTTTTCAGAGGGAAATAATAACTAAATTATAATTCAATACATCGTTGACTTAAAATATTTAAAAAACAACGAAACGTAATTAAATAAAAACACCTTACAAAACAGTTTATTTCAACTTATAAAACTTGGTGCTATAATTAAACATAATCAATCTGAATTTTATTACGTTAGCTAGAGTGTAACTCAGAATATTATATAGTTTTAATAGGGTACTTATAGAAAGAAAAAAGAATCAACTAACGAGGTTTCTTGAATAAAAAATGAAGTTTTTTTTAATAACATAACAAAAAATTTTTTTTACTAAAAATTATAACGTATACTCTAACAAAAACTTGAATAATTTATTATCTTTTATTATTTCGTCGAAAAGAAGTCATTTAAATAGCTTTCAAAAATTCAATAATTGTACTCAATGATTATTGAACTAGGCAAAAGAAAATTGTTGCAATTGTAAGTATAACTTTTTACTCTTGTAAAAATTAGAACACACAGTTTATGTTCTATAAAGTAGTGTTGTTATATAAGTATTCAGAAGATTTTATTTCTATGTGTAACGATTAATTATTAACTATGGTATTTTAAATATCACTGCACCATGTTGTATTACATACCAACCATGGATACCTTCATATTAGTGCATTATTAGTTATATCATTGCGCTAGTGGTGACAAAAGGCTTTTTGTTGTACATGCACTAAACGTTCTTTTAATTGTATCAGTTGAAGAATGCATTAAGTTGTCATTACGAATGTGTTTTCATTTTAAAAATATCTCGAAAATATCTTTAACCTACATTAAAGACTGTACACAAAAGTATTGCACCTATTTCCTGTATTGTTAAGAAATTTTATACAATGTTTTTTAACTTATCTTATCCACAAAACTTACTACACGAATATCCATATCTGAAGAAACTTTATGAAGTAACAATGATATACTCAAGAACTGTTATTCAAAATTCAAAGTTAGATTACAGTGACGACAAACAAATTGACCCCCGCCACATTTTTTATAAACTGTGTATTCATAGTTTTTACTCTAACGAATCAGATAGTTAATTATAAAATAATTTATAAACCTAAATCAACGATTTTATACAACAAAAAGTAAAACTTGAACTTTCTACTTAATGAACATACCATTTAACGCAAACTATACACGTTAACGTTGTATACGATACGAATTAACAACACATTCTTTGAACGTTTCTTATTTACGTACTGGTATTACACATTATAGAATCTATTTGGAAAATAATTCTGTGATTGTATGAAGCATTCAGTGACTTTTTTTATCGAACTGACTGGCTTTAGTTCATATTACTCGACCTTCCGCATTCTTTGCGAGTATATTAGCATGATGTATGATATTATTTTGCGTCTGGATTCCACTAGGAAAGTTCTGACGTGACTCCAAGGTTAAATGCGCACACAGAATTGTACTAGCTCTTATTTATTGTTTAAATATTCTTTAAATACCACCGAAAAAATTCAAGTTTAAGTATTTGACAACAAATCTATTCCAATAACATACTGGTAATGTACGAAATATTACAGTTTTGATCTAATAAAGTCTTGGATAATAATTGTAATCTTTTTCACATGCTGTTATTACAATATTTTGAATTCTGTGTGGCCGTGTATTTTCGTGCATTCATTTCCACACAGAAGTACTACAGTATGTTACGCTTTAATTTGCATTACGTTAAGTTTTACATACTATTGAATTGAATTAATTTATTTAATACCATCGTGATGTACCTATTCTGAGCAAAAATCATCGATTCTGCTACCTTTAATTTTCAAGTCATCCAATTCTAATATATGAGATGTGAGAAAATTTAAAAAACAAAAAATAGGTTATTTGTTTTTGATCACAGGAAACTTCGTAACTGAGTAACGTTTCGTAAGTTACTGCGAATTATGGATGCAGACGTCAATTTTTTTAGAAAGTCTCACGTCATATCGCAACATCTTTCTATATCGCAAAGCCAGTTTAAATTAGCGGAACTTGTTACGTATACTTATTGTGCGTGAACTATAAGAAAAATAATACAGACTTCTAAACAGATATCAAGCTCTCTTTCACACACACTCAGACAAAACACCTTTCATTCGCGACATTTATTTATTCAACAAAAGCTTATTCGTTACTGTTTCCATACAAAGGCTGATATTCAGAACCTAATGAGAACGTTACCCAACATTTAGAGAAAAATTGGTTGTTACGTTGAAATTCGAAAAACTTCGTGATTCATAGGTAGCCGTTATCCAGCGATATGGATTCGACGTTATATCACGTAGCAACTTCTCTAAGTACACATTGTGAGAAGAGTTGATACGTTTATGCAATCCTGAGTTCCCCTTTAAAGTTGAAGCTACATTACGCGATGTCTGAGTTTAATGATTTAAACCTTTTTTTTCTACCATTTTTTTTTTTTTTTTTTTAAATAAAATCGAATACACTTTTTACTATGTTGTTACCATGGTAGCGTAATAATAATCGAAGTAAAAGTTTGCATCACGTGAATATATAAATATCAAAGAAAAAGCGTGATGATATCAATAATTTATGAAACAATGTTCTGTATGGAAAAGGATACATGTTGAAAATGTGGATTAAATTTAATGTTTCCTATAAGCTATGAAAAATAAAAAAACGTGTTAAAAATGTATTGAAATTCGACTTTTCAAAAGAATTTTGAGTATAATGCAAATGATGAAAAATAAAATATTACTCATACAAGAACTAAAACTTATTAGACTAAACATTTTTTATATAATAAATTAATACAGGTACTAATAAATAAACTGTAAATGGAAGTGTATTTGAATAAATTGAAAACGAGCGACAGTAATTGTTATCAATGTAAAATGCAATACCATTTTAAATATTAGTTATTGATAAAATCGAAGGGAATCAGCCGAAAAAACGCAAAAGACTGCAGAGTATACCAAACATTTATGTCACAAATAAAACACGTTCGCAAACGTGTTCAATCTATGATAAGGTGTTTTGTAAGTACTGTACCTCTCAAAAAAATTTTTTTTCTCTCGAATTTGTTTAATTGATGGGAGCTGATTGTATAATTACTGATGAATCGATGTGAATGACCATCAAACGATTGTAAATAATATGGGACTTTACCTTGTGAATGCATGAAAAAACACGAACGACACATTGGAATTTTAAAGTAAATTTTAAATCATTTGCAAGAGTCAAAGATGTATCGGTGTTAATACAGATGCCCCCGAAAAAAATTTCGAGTTACCGTTACGAGTTGAAAAATGTCATTCGCCATCGAAAGACGTACTTTATTACGAATCGAGAAAGAAAAAAAAAATCTGCAAACAAGAATTTTATCTTTATAATTGTACATTTTCAAGTAATTAACGAAAAGATACCTCTGTAGAATAAATACATTACTCCATTTTGAATTGAAGAAACAAAAGTCATAAAAACAATGAAAAAAATTAAAAAGAAAAAGGACTATTTTGCCAGAAAACAAGCAACATACGCGAACCGAGTAATAGCCAGCTAGCAAGAAAGCTAGGAAGCCTGGCTAGCGTAGCTCGAGTAGGTAGTTCAGAGTAGACAAGAGCCCGAGCGCGCGCTGTTGCCGCGGCGTAGGTGTGACGTTCGGTCTGGTGACATGGCAACACCGCGACAGTCGTTACAATATATATATATATATATATATATATATATATATATATATATACGGCAAGAGAGGCGGGCTGCACGAGCTCGCGCGAACAACCATCATGCAGAGAGAAAGAGAATCGAGTCAAGCGGCTCTCTTGGGTTGAGCAAGACAGCCCCGTCGCCCCGCACGTGGAGAAAGACATACACACATGTACACGCACCCATACATGTATATAGAAATACACGAGGAGCCTCGAACATCATTTTACAGCCAGACTCACGCCTGATGGCTCTCAACTTTATACCTGTGGCCTGCTGCTGCCTATACACCGACGTTTCTGTCCCTCGAGTCCAGTTTAAACTGGCAGTCTAATCCGATGTAGATTTATACGCATCTTTTTTTTTTTTTCTTGAATGATTTTTATTTCTGGTTTTGTGATATTTTTAGTTTTGGAGCTCCCCCCCTCCTCTTGTGTGACATTAACCATAAATTTTAAAAAGGAAATAATACCACACACGGTTTTTCTTTTAGATGATTTTAAATTGGGTGTACACGCGTATAGTCAGAGAGATCTTGATTCACCAAAGGATCACGTTGAACAGGTTTTAAAATTGTTCCGACAACTT